TATTTATTTGAGACAGAGAGAATGAGAGACAGAGAGCATGAGAGGGAGGAGGGTCAGAGGGAGAAGCAGACTCCCTGCCGAGCAGGGAGCCCGATGCAGGACTCAATCCCGGGACTCCAGGATCATGACCTGAGCCGAAGGCAGTCGCTTAACCAACTGAGCCACCCAGGCGCCCCTGTTCAAGCATTCTTAATGACAAATCAAATGTGTGTGTGTTTTTTTAAAATTTATTTATTTTAGAGAGAGGGAGAGAAAGAGAGAGAGAGTGAGTGGGGGGTAAGGGGCAGAGGGAGAGGGAGAGAAAGAATCTCAAGCAGACTCCCTGCTGAGCACAGAGCCTGACACATGGCTTGATCTTGTGACTGTGGTATCATGACCTAAGCTGAAATCAAGAGTCAGACACTTAACTGACTGAGCCACCAAGGCACCCCTCAAATGTGTGATTTGAATGGTAGCATGATGTTGTGGAAAGAATACCAGAGGAAAAATCAGGAGACCTGGGTTGTTAATGCCAGCTCTGCTATTTACTGGCTGTGTAAATAAGATAAGTCACTTTGAGGGGCACCTGGGTAGCTCAGTCGTTAGGCGTCTGCCTTCGGTTCGGGTCATGATCCTAGGGTCCTGGGATCGAGCCCCGCATCGAGCTCCCTGCTCAGCGGGAAGCCTGCTTCTCCCTCTCCCACGCCCCCTGCTTGTGTTCCCTCTCTCGCTGTGTCTCTCTATGTCAAATAAATAGATAAAAAATCTTTTTTTTTTTTTAAAGATAAGTCACTTTGTTTCTCTGTGCCTCAGTTTCCTTGTCTTAATAATGATGTAGTTAGCTTAGGTAATCTATAATTACATTTATAAAATCTTGATTTTGTGACTTGTATAGTGAATTTACCACCTGATTTTGTGATCTGAGTCTATTTTAATATGCTGTAATATCTATTTGTTAGTTGATTGAACATATTTAAAGAAAACTCACCTATATGTGTAATTATGGCAGCCAAAAGTCTGATGGAAAATTTATGCCGCTTAGACAACTGTCAGTGATTGTTAATTTTTTTACTCTGGAAGAGTGACTTGAAATAATAGTTTTAAGTTTTAGAAAAACAGCTAGAAAAAATGTGAAATGTGAGTAAATGAAAAGACTATATCACCCATATGTCATTAGACCTAATAATTTTGATGTTACACCTAAATAGTGAATACTGGAAGTAGTTCCCAGAATTTCTGCAAAAGAGAAGTCATGTTATGTCCAATTTAACTTATCAAAACAGGCACAAGAAGGAATAGAAAACTTGAGTAGTCCTATTAAAGAAATCTATTAAAGAAATTTAATATTAAAGAAATTAAACCGGTGCCTGGGTGGCTCAGTCGGTTAAGCATCTGACTCTTGATTTTGGTTCAGGTCATGATCTCAGGGTCCCAAGATCAAGCCCTGCGTTAGGATCCATGCTCACTCTGGAGTCTGCTTGAGATTCTCTCTCTCTCTCCCTCTACCCACCCTGCTCATGTGCTCTCTCTCTCTAAATAAGTAAAATCTTAAAAAAAGAAATTAAATAGATCCTTTCTACAAAGAATATTCTAGACGTAGATAGCTTCAGTGGTAGATTCTACCAAAAATTTAAGGAAAAAAATAAAACCAAACAGAGAAGCTCTCCTAGAGAATAGAAAAAAAAAAAAAAAAAGAAAGAAAGAAACACTTTCACTCCATTTTATGATTCCAGCATGACTTTGATCCCATGACATGACAGGACATTAGAAGTAAGGAAAATGATAATTTAATGTAATTGAATTACATTAAAATGGAATATGTCTGTTCATCATGAACACTTATTCAAAAACGCTCAAAAAATCATAGCAAACAAAAATCCAGTGATGTAGACAAAAGGATAATACATCATGACTAATTTGGATTTTTTCTAGGAATGCAAGGTTGATTTAAGTTTAAGAAATCAGTCAATATGTTTAACCACATTAACAGAATAAAATCAAACCTCATACAATATTTTCAATAGATGCAGAAACATAATTTGATAAAAATTTAACACAATAATAAAAACTCTTGGCAAAGTAAGAATAGAATGGAGATTCCATAATATGACAAAAAATACCCACAAAAACCTACAGCAAATATCGTACTTAATTGTGAAATACTGAAAGCTTTTCTTGAGATCAAGAAAGAGGTAAAGATGATCACTATCACCACTTCTATTTAATTTTGTACTAGAATTCATAGATAATGTAATAAGGCAAGAAAAAGAAACAAACAAATATAAGATTCGAAATGTAGAAATGGCATTTTGTTTATAACCACCCCTTCTCCATCAATGTACAGGTGAACTATTATAATTAATGAATACATTTATCAAGGTCTCTAAACATAGGCAATACCCCCAAATCCATTATATCCCTATATACCAGCCATATTAAAAAACATATATTAAAAAACAAAATTTAAAAATACCATTTAAAATAGCATTAAGCCATCAAATACCCAGGGAAAAAAATCTAACAAAATATATGCAAGATTGTTATATAGGAAACTATAAATATCGCTGAGAGAAATGAAAGAAGACCTAAATCAATGGAGGGACACACCATGTTTATGGATTGAAGAATAATATTCTAAAAAGGCAGATTCTTCCTAAATTGATCTATATATTCAATTCTGATAAAAATCCCAGCATAAAGTTTTGTGGAAATTAAAAAGCTGGATCTTAAATTTACATGGAGATGCAAAGGGTTAAGAATAGCCGTGACAGGGACGCCTGGGTGGCTCAGTCGGTTAAGCGTCTGCCTTTGGCTTAGTCATGATCCCAGGGTCCTGGTATCGAGCCCCGCATTGGGTTCCCTGCTCAGTGGGAAGCCTGCTTCTCCCTCCCTCTCCCCCTGCTTGTGTTCCCTCTCTCGCTGTGTCTCTCTCTCTCTCTGTCAAATAAATAAAAATTAAAAAATCTAAAAGAATAGCCATGACAATCTTGAAGAAAAAAAAAAAGGGAAGACTTATACTACCAGATCTCAACAGTCATTGTAAGACTAGAATAATTAATTAGTAATTAAATAATTTTATGGTATTATCAGTGTTAATTGTACTGTTGTTATTATTCTTCTTTTGAACATACTTTAAGCCTAATCTATGTTTGAGGCATAAGAGAGAAAAGAACACTTTGTGTTTCTCATGTCAATTCTCTTTTGGCTTAATTTTTTTTATAGAACCTCTTCTTGCAATTATGAAACATACTGCCTTTTGGAAAAGTGCATGAAATATACATGTATTTTTTCACAAATAATGATCCTTGTCCACTCACAACTTCCATTCAAGAGGTAACCACTTTTATGGTAATCATTGCCTTATTTTCTTCTACAGTTTTAACACCTCAGGATGCTCCCCACTGACAATATAGTTTATTATTGCCTATTTTTGGACTTCAGATAAATGAAATTATAGAAGCCACCTTCCAAAATGGCCCTAATGATCCTGGTCTCCTGGGAGTTTCTTTCTACATCGAATCAGGGATGGTTTATGTGACTGACTTCTGAGGCTGTCATAAAAGGTTATTGCAATTTTTGCCAATTCTCTTGGATTGTTCATTTTTGAGGGAGCATGAGGAAACTCAAGCAGCCCTGTGAAGGGGCTCATGTGGACAGGAACAGGGCCTCCCATCACAGCCAGCCTTGTGGTTGAGCCACCTTAGAAGTGGGTCCCCCAGCCCAACTCAAGCTTTCAGATGACTGCAGCCCCAAGAGATATTTGGCTGTAACCTCATGAGCAACTCTGAGCCAGAATTGCTCTAAACTACTCCCAATATCTAACTCACAGAACCCGTGAGCAATAATAAATGATTTCTGTTGTATTAAAAGAAGACAATGAAATAATGATAAAAGGATATGCATATAAATCATTGCAGTGGAGTTCAGAAACAAATATAAACAGATTCTGGATTTATGACAAATATGTTCATCAGCTTGGGTTACCATAACCAAATACCATGGCCTAGGTGGCTTAAACAACCAAAATTTATTTTCTCACAGTTCTGGAGAATGCAAGTCCAAGATCAACATCATTAGGCTTGGTATCTGGTAAAAACTCTGTGTGGGTTACAGATGGTTACCTTCTCTGGGTGCTCATGTGGCAGAGAGAGATAGCAACTCTCTGCTGTCTCTTCTCAGAAGGACACTGGTCCCATTATATAAGGACCCTACCCTCATGTGGATTATTGAGGAAAAAGATCCTTGTCTCAAAAAATATTGAGTCCTTGACTTGGAGACCTAGATTTTGAAAATTTTTTTAAATTTTAACTCTTCCTGATTTAGGTAACTAAACCCTAAAATACAATTTTAACATTATCCCCCCATATCTAGTCTATTTATAGACTATTCAAAATCAACTACTTAAATCAGCTATTTAAAATCTCATCATTCTTTATTATTAAGGCATTATCATCTATTTACATGAAATATATCACAGTGAGACCTGAAAGTTAAGTTACAGTATAAGACATAAACATCTCCCAGAGTGGTCTACTCCAGAGGTGTAAGTAGAGAGAAATGAAGTGGTACCGGGTGAGTGACAAAAGTAGGATATTCGATACTTTACCGCAGTGGTTGCTTTGCCTCCCGGGGGACAGTTCAGAATATCTGGAGATATTTTAGTTGCTGCAACTGGGAGAGAGCAAGTTACCGGCATACAGGGAGTAGAGGCCAACCATGCTGCTAAACGTCCTACAATGCATGGGACAGCCCCACAACAAGGAATGATCTGGCTGAAAATGTCAGTAGTGCCATGGTTGAGAAAGCAGGCTCTACGGTGATGACAGTTGTGTGTATGGGACAGCTCTTGTGCATCTCTCTGGATCCTCTTGGTCCCACCTCTTAATCCAGTGATTGCTGTGGTCCTTTGACAGCTTGGGCATGTGCATTCTGAAAGGGCCTTGTCTCACACTTATGGCATATGTCCGTAGCTTCTTGCTGTAGGGCTTCTTTGATATGGCAGTGTGGGCATCATGTAAATCCTTTTGGCACTTACACCTGTGCAAACTGGAAGTGTAGAGGAATTGACACACTGGGTCAGTGGAACATGAAAGTTGATGAATAAACTCTTCCTTCTTTTGTCCCCTGGGTGAATAGCTAGGAAATGTATTTCATAAACTCCAAAGAATTTTTTTTTATGATCGAACACCACTTTCCCTTAGTAACACATCATTATATTGGCTCTTCTTCCTCCCCAGGTTCTTTTCCTGTGTCCTTCATTCCTTCTTCCTGGAATCACATACCCAATAAACCACCTGCATGCAAATCTTTGTCTCAGAGTCTGTTTTCTGGGAAACTCATGATAAATATCATGTATATGGAGGTCCACAGTGAAAGATAAGGCATTACTGGAAAACTTTATGGACATTCATGTTTGTCCTTTTAAAGTGAAGCATAAATATAATAAAGAGTAAAAAGAGGGTACCAGATTCATGGTGGTGCAAATATTGGAGAGCTCAGAAAGGGCCACTTCTAAAATTGTCCCATCAGTCAAAGAATTTTCTAAGCCTCTTGTGGTAATGGCAAGGGACAACAGTGGTGGCCATACAGAAGGATAAAAAGGGAAGAAATTAAGTCAGGACTTTAAGAAAAAAAGGAAAGGAAGAAGAATATCCTCTGGCTGCCCTCCTTTAAATGAATCTTGTTATTTTGACAGATTTGGAATCCTAGAATTTTAGTTAGAAGGGACCTCAGAGAGTTAAATTCTCTTCTTTTACAGATGAGGAAATGAGGCTGGAGAGGCTAAACAACCTTCTCAAGGTCACTGAGTTGCATTAATGGCAGAGCCAGGGCCAGAACTCACTTCTGAACTGGGGACACCATCTAAACATGGATTCTAAGTCATATACCCCTGATTCGTGACACAACCTGGAACTGGGGGTATGACCTAGTTAGGATTCCAGAAAACCCTGTCCCTAGGTCAACAAGGAGCTAAGATGCTAACAGGAAATAAGAGGAAATGTCAGCTGTATTTTCCCTTGCTTGTAGAGGGTGGCTGTGTTTCTGGGATTAGCCTAGACCTGACTGAACTGTTTGCTATTAATTATTTGAAGGTATAAATAAAGTTTGGTTAAGAGAGAAGTGATGGTGAAGTTGGGCAATTCTTGTTATTCTAGGGACATTCCCAATGCTGACTTCTCAAAGTTTCTGTTAAATTGAGAAGACTTAGTTCATGGACTTGGCCAAGGCGAGTGGAAATAACGACCACATTCTGTTCTGGGGCTTTTCACTGGTGTTTCCCACTAAAGCAACTTTGTTCTGAATGATTACCGAAGATGGTATCCTTGGCTTCCTCCCCTAGCCGCCCCCCTCCCCATCTTGGGCATCCAACCACCCAAGGTCCACCTGGTAAGGATTCTGCTTTTTCTGTTCCTTATGCTGAGGTCCAAAGTCAGACATTTCATTCTAGTGAACCAGACATGGTCTCTACCTTAACTGGCTCTCAGTCTGCTGGAGGAGACAGACATTAAAAAGAAATCTCAATCCAGTCTGGTGATGATCAAGTCCAGAGTATCATGTGATCTGACCAGGTTTGGGGGCAAGAAAGTCCTCCCTAGGATGAGGTTTAAGATAAGATAATGAAGGGGCAGTAGGACTGAATCAGTCAAGGATTTTGAGGTTGTGGGTGAGGATGCAGCACATGGAAAGGCTCAGAGTAGAGAGAGAACCTCAAGGGAAGTAAAACAAACCAGAGCCCAGAGAATGGACAAACTGAGAGGCTGGTCTGGCCATTGAGGTCATGCTGAGGAGCTCCAACTTCTTCTTGAGGGCAGTGGATGCCACTGAAGGGTTTTGAGCAGGTGAGAGCTGTGATCAGACTTGTGTTTCAGAGGACTTTCTCACATCCAGAGTGGAGGGAATGAACTGGACAGGAATGAGACAGAAGGCCTCCTGGAGAATGGGCAAGAGGTGTTGGTGGCTTCACTGGAATGGACAGCAGTAAACTCCATAAAGATGGGCACTTAGAACAGTTCCTGGTACATAATTAGACTTGGTAAATATTTATTTATTGAATGAATGAATGCATGCATGCATGAATGAATTGAATGAATGTAGGTATATTATAAAAATATTTAGGAGAACCTGGGGAATAATCAGAATGTGGGGGGTGGGAAGGAGGGAAGAAGCAGGAAAGATGCTAGATTTCTGCTAGCAGGTAGCTGCATTTATGGTAGGGGCAGAAACTGAGAGGGGAAACACAGGAAAGGGCAGGTTATGGGGAGGGGTGTGTATGCAGTTTTGGGCATGATGGGTTTAGATGCTGGGAGGCAGTTGGAAATAATATCTCAGGAGAGGTAGCTATGTTGATTTGGAAACCTTCGCCTTATGGATGGTAACTGGAGTCACAGGAGTACATAGCCGAAATGGACCAAAGGGAGTGTGTAGAGAGAAGACTCTGAAAGATTTCCAGCTGGTGTGGCCCTCCTCCACCTTTCCTATAGCTGGGCACTTTTGGCATGTGATGTCTCAGGCCAAAACATTTCCGAGTGAGGATCATCATGGGACCCTTTCAGAGAGTCCCTCAACCATTCGTTGCTCTCATTTAAGAAATCTCAATGAGTAGTTCAAGTTGGGAAGGTGAAGTGGGAAGTAAATTACTGTTGGCGGTGTTCCAGCAGATTCATCTTGGTTCTCTTAACAGATTTATTTGAGTGAAGTTCTTCCTACTCTTCAACCTACTGAACTTGAACTTCAACCTACACTTCAACCTACTGCACTCAGGTGCACCTTTGACTCCCAGTCTCTAACCTGTTAATTCACCCCCCCTAGGATGGCAGTCCCGGCACGGTATGCTGCTTGTCTGGACTGCCCCAAATGCCAAGAGGTGGGACTTGGCTGGCTGGTCAGTCACAGTGGGGCTGCTTATGCTCCCTTCCAGTGGCACTGTTTCTATTCCTCTCTGTGGTCATCAAGAATACCTGGCTCTTGTGGCCTCTGGGTGGTGATAGAGCCGTGGGAGCAGGCCTGGCTTTTCCATGGTCCTTTTCTATTGCACCTTGACATTTTACACTGGGGACATCCATAGGAAGCTCCTTGAGGACTGGGATCTTATCTTTATTATTATTATTATTATTATTATTATTTAAAGATTTTATTTATTTATTTGAGAGAGAGAGAATGAGAGACAG